GTGGAGGCAGCCGTCCGTGGCGCAGTGATGGCTGAAGCGCAGAGGCGCACCGTCGCGGCCGTGGCGAAGTTCGCAGTCTCGGCCACGCTGTCCAAGCCGGCCGAGGCTCCCGCCCCCCGGGCTGACGATGCTGCCATGGTCGCCCCCCCCCCCCTGACCTTCCTGAGGTCCCCGTCCTGGCCGTGGTGGCGCGGAGGGCTGCTGACCCCGCGGCGGGGGCCGCCAAGCGTCGGCGCCGTCGCGCCGCGAGGCGGGGCGGGCGGCTGGTGATGGTGCGCCTGCCTGCGGACGAGGCGGCGGCGGCGGCGGCGGCGGCGGGGCCTGAGTCGGCTGGAGCCTCCGTCTGCGGAGGCCGCGCTGGCGGCGGGCCCAGTGGCGGACGAAACCGCGGACGTGCTCGCGCAGGTCCTCGCGCTGTCGCCCTGCCCCGACAACGGCGCCGCGGGCATTGCGCGCTGCTCGCATGCCACAGGTGCGCAACGGGTGAACTCTTTGTGTGGCCCTTCCCCGTCTGCCGGCCCCGCGTGTGAGCCTCCGCTTGCATGCTCGGTCGGGGTGCATGCAGGCGGGGCCCTCCATGTTCAGCATGGCCCTCTGCGGTGTGAGATGGGACCACGCGCCACTTCTCGAACAGGACCCCCTACTCGGGTTTCGTGCCCTTGCAGGGGTCGCAACGGTCTGCGCGCTCCTCCCTCCCTCCTCCCTCCTCGCTCCTCCTCCTCCTCCTCCTCCTTCTCCTCCTCCTCTTCCTCATCCTCTTCCTCCTTCCTTCTCGCTGATTCATCCTCCTCCTCTCCTCGTCCTCCTCCTCCGTCGTCGTCTCTTCCTTCCTACTCTTCCCTCCTCATCCCTCCTCATCCCTCCCCCTCCTCCTCCTCCTCCCCCTCCACCGCCTCATCCTCCTTCCTCGTCCCTCCCCCTCTTTCTCCTCCCTCTCATCCTCCCTCCCCGTCCCTATTGCTCCCTCAGCCTCTTCCCCCGTGTGAGGGGCCAAGTGTCCCCTTGGAGCGGCATGCCCCCAGTGAGGCGTCGACGGGGCCGCGGCTCCAGCCATAGCGTATGCACCATGCCCTGGTCCCTGGGCGTCCTGGAGTGGGCCCCGAAGGCCCCTCTCTGAGGTACTCCTGTGCTAGGGTGCGTTCGGCCTTCCTTGACTCCCCCACCTTACCTCTCTCCAAGTCTGTCATATGACTATCAGCTCCTGCTTCGCCACGGTTCATTCTGAGTGCTACTCTACTTGCTACATCTTAATAACGCCATCAGCGACTTGTTGTTTAAAGCGCTTTCTACTTTGAGCTTTTGAAGAAAAGCTGAATACGCCGAAACTGATACACGTCCTCTTTAGCATGACTAACTTATTTCGGATGCTGTGCTCAGACCCGTCGCTGTGAAACTTGTTGTGTTAGCATTGGTTGCGTTTCGTGTCGAATGCTGTTCCTTGTCATCCCTGCCGTTGTCGATCCTGCTGTCCCGATCTCGTCGTAAAATCCATAGATGGGGCGGGGGCTGAAGCGGCGTTCCCGTGCGCAGAGCTGAAAACGGTAACACAACGCTCTGACATTCGTCTGACATCGGTGCGACATTAGTCTGGGAGCCCACGGCCCGTCCACAGCGAGCTCCGGCGATAGAATCCGACAGACCTGAAAACGCAAAACTGTTAAACTTTCGTTTTTGTTTGCTTGGACCTGAAGACGCTTATCATATGATTTTCAAGACGCCGAACTGAAAACGATGAAACACGCCCAGGGCAAATTTACGATGAACGGAGCTTACTGCTACTCTTCTCATACTTCGTACTATCATCCGTATTCGTGCGATGCCGTGGGTCGCCGCAGGCACCAGCGAACAGACTGGCCTGGCGCAGGCGACGAGCAGTATTCAGCCATGAGCGCGTTCCTTTCTGTTCGGCGACAACGGGCGTCATGGGGGGGGGGTTTGACGTAACGCCCCCCCCCCGCCATGTGGCTCCGGCACCACAGCCGCGCCCGCGCGCACGACGCGACGAGCGTCGAGCGACGAGCGACGACGACGACGCAAGCAGCATGTAGGTGGCGGTCTGCCCCACTGCGCCTGTGTATGCCGCAACGCTCGCGTGCACCACAGCGCGCGTGTACACCACAGCGCCTGCGTACACCGCAGCAACCGTGTGCAACGCAGCGCCTGTTTACACCACAGTGCTTGCGTACACCACAGCGCCAGCGTACATGTGTACACCGCAGCAGCCATGTGCAACACAGCGCTTCTGTACACCACAATGCTTGCGTGCACCGCAGCGCCTGTGCGCGCCACAACGCCTGTCTACACCACAGCATCCGCGTGCAACGCAGCGCTGGTGTACACCACAATGCCTGAATGCATACAAGACAGGTAAGAGGGGCATGTACGTGAGGATCTGCTGCGGACAACTAAACGCCACAACAGGAAGGTGATGATAATCGAATGTGACGACGTTCTTCCCTCCTCCCTCCTCCTCCACTTCCACCTCCACCTCTTCCTCCTCCTCCTCCTCCTCCTCCTTAAGGCCTGTCGTGCGGGTTGGCGCTACAGCGCACTTGCGCATCTCAGCTTGCACCGCAGAGTGGTCTACTGAATCAGCCCACTTGGTTCTCGGACGGCCAATTTAGCTGGAGCCTGGACGCAAATGGGAGGATTTAGGGTGATGCGGGCGGACTCGGGAGGACTCGTAAATTCCAGCGGCGCTCCTTTGTCTATACGGATTCCTTTTTCTATCTTTTCTTTGGAATCTACAAGCACTCCATTTTGTCAGAAGGATCCTTTCCTACACTACATATACAACAGTGGTGCTGTGTTGCACGCGGTTGCTGTGGTGCGCACAGGCGCCGTGGTGCACATAGGCACTGGAATGCACGCAGGCATTGTGGTGTTCACTGGTGCTGTGCTGCACACGGCTGATGTGGTGTACGCAGGCGCTGTGGTGTACACAAGAGCTGTGGTGCCCGCAGGCACGGTGGCACAAACTGACGCTGTGTTGCGCGCGGCTGCTGTGGTGTACATGGGCGGTGGGTGTGGTGTACACAAGCGCTGTGGTGCACGCAGGCACTGTGGTGTACGCACGCGTTGTGGTGCAGATCGCCACCTACATGCTGGTGCTACCCGTCCTCCGTCATTCCTAGGCATTCGTAGACGCCGCCGGCGCGAAACGTGACGTCATCGACCGCCTCCCCCCCCCAGATGATTGCCGTCATCGGCCCGGGATGAAAAACAGGCCCCAGCCGCGTCCGCGCGCACGACGATGATGAGCGACGAGCGACGAGCGGCGAGCCACGACGACGACGACGACGACGACGACGACGACGACGACGACGACGACGACGACGACGACGACGACGACGACGACGACTGCGGACCAGACTCCTCTGCGGATTCCTACGCGGACACCTACGCGGATCCCAATGCGCACGGCGGCAGTGCCTGGGGCGCACTGGGGGGGGGGAGCGTTACGTCAGGGGGGTGGAGGGGAGCGGGGGCCGTGACGCCCGTCATGCTCCAAGCAATAAAGAAACGGGCTCCATCCCCGTCGTCGTTGCGTCGTTGCGTCGCTGCGTCGCTGCGTCGTTGCGTCGCTGCGTCGTCGTCGTCGGACCCATGTGTTTTCACACTTCTTCCGCTCTGGCGCGAAAGGGACCCACCTGTTTTCCCACTCGATCCGCTCTGGCGCGACAGGGACCCGCGTGTTTTCACGCGTGTCCCGCTCTTGCGCGGAAGGAACCCACGTGTTTTCACGCTTCTTCCGCTCTGGGGCGAAAGGGACCCACGTGTTGTCACGCGTGCGCAAAGGATCCACGTGCTTTCCCGCTTGCTCCGCTCCGGGTCGAAAGGGCCCCACGTGTTGCCACGCTTGTTCCAAGTCGCCCAAGCAAATCTCTAACATGAGGATGCGTTGAGGATGTTTCGAGCAAAACGTTGGTTATCACGTGTCCAGGTCGCCCAGGCGAATCACGAACATGGCAATGTGTTGGGATGTCTAGAGCGAAACGCTCGTTCTGCAGGACTGGTTGAGGATGTCTCGAGCGAGGGCCTCGCTTGCGGCGAAAACCTCCCTCTGCAGCATGAGTTGAGAACGCCTCTTGCGAAACGCTGGCTTTGCATTGTTCGGGGAGGTGTCGTGCGGGGGCCTCGTCGTCGTCTGGGTGCGTCTCGTTTCGGTTCGGATTCGCCGCCCGATCGGTTCGTCCCACTTCGGAACTGAAACAGATTTTGGGTTCGAGCTGGTTGAACGCCCCGCATGTTATGACTGCAGCCAGCTTTGGTCGAACCATGCGCGTAGGCAGCTTGACCTGACGATCCAGGTCAGTTCGGACAGGATTGGGGTGCCAAGGATGGTTAGATCCACAACGCAACAGAACAGTACAGTTCAACACAGCATGACGCAGCACAGTGCAGCCCAGCACGTATCAATCGCAAGGAACGCCTGGCACCACGGAGTGCGGCTCCCTCGTCAGGAGACGTCATGTAATTTCAAGATAATTAGTTTGTCTTGTCTCGCTTCGAAACGGGTCGGATCGGCCTTCGTATCGTTTCGGTTCGTCTTGATGCTATTCGTCGCGTCTTGGTTCGCCGCGCTTCGGTCCGTCCATTCTCGGTTCGCTTTACGTCGGTCCGGAATCGCCTCCCCTTGGCTCGTCCGGTTACGGAACTGAATCAGATCTTGAGCTCGAGCTGGTCGAGCGCCCTGCGCGGTTCGACTGAAAGCAGCTCGAGTTATGCGTTCAAGCAAGTCGAGCTGAAGATCCAGATCAGTTCGGTCGGAATTCTGATGCCAAGGGCGACCTGATCAACAATGCAATAGAGCATACCACAGATCAACGCGGCAGGGCGCATTTCAATTCATCGCAGCACAGCACAGCCCGTGGCACGGTGCATCACCATCGTTGCCCTGAGCATTGCAATTGCCCGTCGCCCAAATCTGGTGTCTCGAAACATCTCCATGCTTTACATTTCCGTATCCCTTCCAGGGTTCGTGGGTCGATCATGTTTATTTTGCCCCACCCCCCAACACGCGGCAACGCCTCAACTATCCCATCACAAACATCGCTGGGTCAACACTGTAGCAGCAGCCCTGAGCCAATGCGCTGAAAAAGCGCAGATTGGCAACAACCAGAAAAGGCTAATTCCAGCCCAACCTGGACTATGAAGCAATTAACACAGCGCTACAATGAGCGCTGACATATCCTGCAAACCAAAGCGTTCTCGCGCGCACTCCCTGCCAAAGATGCCAGAGGCTCCTGGCTCAGGGCATGAACACCTGCAGCGTCTCCTCCACGACGCCGCGGCACATCGGGCAACTGGACAGGCCGCGCGCGCCGCCGCCGCAGAAGCTGCACACGCACATGTGCCTGCATGGCAGGCAGACGACGTTGGGCAAGTTCTCCAGGCACACGACGCACAGGTCCTTCCGCTGGACCCCCTCCTCTGCGGACGTCACGGCCTGCAGCCGCCTCTGTAGCTCCAGGTTCCGCGCGTTGAGCGCAGCGGTGATCATCTGGACCGCGCTGAGCGCCTCCTGCGCGCTCCGCAGCTCGGCTCCCATCGTCGCCCCGCCAACCTGCGGATGCTCACAGAACTTCCGGTACTGCTCGTTCTGGTGCTCCAGGGACCGCAGCCGCCCCTCGAGGTCCGCCTGCTGCGCCTGGAGCCGCCTCTTGTCCAGCCGCAGCGCCTCGACGCACTGCCTGAGGTTGGCGTTCTCGCGGTCCTCGAGGGCATGCTGTGCCTCAGACTTGGCCGCCTCGGATCTCACCCGCTGGTCGACATTCCGGGAGATCTCCTCTGCCAGAGCAGGGTCCAGACCCTTCATCAAATCCCTCATGAAGTTGTCGCCCTCGACTCCGTCGATCTGAGCAGGTGCCTGTGGCAGGTGCGCCTCGTCGTGGCCGTCGCCAAGCTTGGTGGCACCGTGCAGGAACGGTGACGCCTCTCTCCTCCCCAGCGTCGCCACAGCTCCCCCGGGCGGCCGCGGGGAGCGGCCGGGGCCGCCAGAGGGGGCGGCGGGCGCGGACGAGGGCAGCGTCGGGCCTTCGGAGCTCCGCGGCGGCCGCTGCGGATGCAGGAAGGGACTGCTGCTGCACGCGCTGCTGCTGCTTGCGCCCCCAGACTGGACTGGCGGGTACAACTGCTCCGCGCGGGGCGGGGGCGCCGCCGGCGGCGGCACTGCCGCGGGGCGCGGCCTCGACCGCGTGGGCTCGCGGCCAGGCAACGGCTGGCGGGGATCTGCCAGGTACGCCGCCCACTGCGCGCGGTCCCCTGCGGTGACCAGGTCGGGCTCGCCCTCCGCAGCCACGGGCGCAGGGCTGGCCGCCCAATGCGAGCGGTCAGCCGCCTGCGGCCGGCCTCCCTGTCCCTCCGCCACGGCCCAGGCCGACGGCGGCCAAGCCCCCTGCGCACGGTGCCGCGAGCGGGGCGACGGCGTCGCCGAGAAAATCTCCATCCTCGACGCGGTGACCAGCAGAGCGCGGCGAGGCGGCGGGCGCACCGAGGCGGCGGGCGCGGCCCGCGGCGCGTTCGGAGTGCGCCCTCCTCTTGAGCCAAATTTGGCACCACTTGTGGCGCCTTTGCGAAGAGCACGGCGGACTCGGCCCGATTAGCTTCTCGAAGATAAGTGCTCATGCTACTCGTGATGAGCGCGCTCGCATGGGCGGTCGAGATTTCTTGGGTAACCGCGTGGCCGACTTGGGGGCCAAGAAGGGCCCTCAGATGATTCAGCACACAGAGTGGCAACGCACGCACTACATACGCTCTTTCATTAAGTACAGTCAACCCGTAACATAAGGACGCACGATACGGTGGAAGGGCCTTGGAAGGCCATGTTGACCCTTTGCAGGCGGGGCGCGGCCAGCGAGAGCGGTCAAGGATGGACCGAAGGGGATGGATGCGAGGGTAACCTTGGGAAGTTGCTCATCTTTACTATGCGGGTCGATTGTAAGGAGGATTTGGGAGTCTGCTGCTAGAGTTGGTTTTAACTGGTCTGGTCAATGAGACTCAGAGAACATTCTCCCCTTAGCCAAATCCCCCCTCGGGTACTGCGGAGAAAGGGGGCAATGGTGGTGGTAATCCTCTCTCCTGCTCTTGAAGCGGCTCAATAAAAGAGTTCAGAGGCGGTCACTCCCAGAGGAGTGCAAGCCGACAAAGTGGCCCTTGCGACTCGGCAAGCTGTCCTCTGGTTCAGAGGCCAGAGGCGGTTTTCTGCAAAAAGTGTGCCTGTCACTCGAAGGCCCACCGGCATGGTTTAACTCTCGGAGCATGTCGACGTGCTGACCCCGGAACAGCACAGGGCAGACTCCATCGACTCTGGCAGATCAGAGACCCTGAGACTGGCCGATCTCTGGACGGGGTCTTGAGCTTTAGCAATCCGAATGTGCCCTGGAATTTGGCCTGACGTGTTCAGCATGCCTAGTGTGCCAATCAATCTGTTCTTCGGACGGGCTTCGAAGTCGATTCAAAGTACCATTGCGCCCATGGGGCCGTGGGACGCCGTCTTGGATTACCTGAGCGACGTTTGATTCACTCCCCGTAACGTCCCTTCCCCAGGGGGGAGTCTGGCCGCCGTGTGGGGGAGGAGCGGTAACGTGGCGGGCGCGGGCAAGGTGCTAGCAATCGTGATGATAGTAGCAGTGCTAACACTAGTGAGGACACTTGTAAAAACATCGACAACGACGACGATGCCGACGACAACGACAACGACAACGACAACGACAACGACAACGACAACGACAACGACAACGACAACGACAACAACCACAACAACCACAACAACAACAACAACAACATTCATTCCGAGACTGCTCGCTCCTACTGGCCCGCGTGTCATTCACTATGCGCATCCCAAACCCTGGATACCCGCCCTCTTCGTCTTCGATCGTACCCCTTTTTGGCGGGTTATATTCTTTCCTGGCCACGTGTAATTGGAAAAGGCCCTAAACAGGGAAACGACAGGGAAAAGACAAAAAGAGAGCACGAAGGGATTGGAGGAACGGGGGAATTAGAGGGGCAAGAGGGAGGGACGACGATGATTTGTGCCGCGAGTTGCGATTCAGCTTGCGCCATGGTTTGCGTCAGCCATTCCAACACAGGTTAACAAAGGCTTCGCCATGGGTCGCGCCATAAACAGCGCCATGTAACACCTCTGGTGCTGCTCGGCGAGGTGTTGGAGGCGAATGTGGCGCCCGATGCCATCTCCTAGAGCGCTGCAGGGCCAGGGTGGGTGAGAGGAACCAGCAGAGCCAATGCGCACCGGTGGGGGGGGACCAACAGAAATCATTCTTCAGGAATGAAAATTCAACATCAGCTGACGTGCGAGGGAGAGGGAATCGGAAGGCGGGGAGAGGCGGCCTGGGAGGAGGGAGGAGCAGGAAGGTAAGAATGCGAACGTTCGAATAAGTCCTAAGCAAAGGCGCCATTCCACAAGGAAGTCTCAGGCGGCAGCCCACGACGGGAGCGCCGTCCTTGAGTTAATTGTAAGGAAGCCTCAGACGGGAGGGGGGGTCCTGACTAAATTGTGAGGAAGTCAAAGGCGGGAGCGCCGATCCTGAGTAATTTGGGAGGAAGTCTCAGGCAGGAGCGGGGGTCCTGAGTAAAGTTGGAGGAAGTCTGATGGGGGAGCCGTTGTTGTTGTAGTCTGGGGGAGCTGCAACGCAACTTGACCAGGACGAACTTGTGAGGACGTAACGGAAAGAGCAAGGTACGAGCGATGACGTTGTGTGTTGGGCGAAGCCCCTTAAGGGGGGTTCCAGGGGGGGGGCGTAGCGCGAGAGTTTGAGTGCTAATGGCCGTTTGGGGGGTTTTCCCTTGGGGTTTTGCCTGTTTTTCGGGTTCCCCCTCGAGACGGCCCAAGAGCGCTCCAAGAGAGCCCAAGACCGCCCAAGACGGCCCAAGAGGCCCCTAAGAGGCCCCCAAGAGGCGCCCAAGGGGCTTCCCAAGAAGGCCCCAAGAGGCCAAAATTATCGATCTGCCAGAGAAAAACGTAATTTTTTAGCATATACGGCTTTTCGCCTTTCACGGCGTTGACGACGGCCCAAGAAGCCCCCAAAACCGCCCCAAGAGGCTCCCAAGAGGCCCGCGAAACGGCCCAAGAGGGCCCCCAGACGGCCCAAGAGGCGCCCAAGACGGCCCAAGAGGGCCCCAAGACAGCCCCGAGAGGGGGACCACGAACCGAAAAGTCTATCCTATCGCCCCAAGACGCTCCCGCGAGGCCCCCACAGCCCCCCAAGAAGCCCCACGAGGCCCCCAAGAGGCGTCCCACGAGGCCAACAGGAGGCCAAAGTCATATATTTTTTCTTTGGGAAAGCGTGTATTTTTAGCATATACGGCTTTTCGGCTTTCACGGCGTTGGAGACAGTCCACGAGGCCCCCAAGACCGCCCCCAGACGGCCCAAGAGGCTCCCCAGAGGCCTCCAAAACGGCCCAAGAGGGCGCCAAGACGGCCCAAGAGGCGCCCAAGACGACCCAAGAAGGCCCCAAGACGGCCCCGAGAGGGGGACCACGAACCCGACAGTCTAGCCTTTCGCCCCAAGACGCTCCCGGGAGGCCCCAAGAGCCCCCCAAGAAGCACCAAGAGGCCCCCAAGAGGTCCCCAAGAGGCCTCACGCGACGACGACAGGGCGCCGTTGCCGACGCGGCCGCCTTTAGATGTCTCCCAGATGGGGTCCGAGTAGATGGCGTCCGAGGATCGCGTTGTATCGGAGGTGCATCGGCGATTTCGGCGGAGCTTCGGTCACGGCAGCACGGAGAGAAGTCGGGCCCCACATCGATCCGCACCGCCGATGCGTTAGCGATGCGGTGCGATTCCCCGACCCCATCTACTCCGACCCCACCCCATCCAAGAGGCCTAGAGCCTGAGAGTAGTCGCCGACGCCGCGGCCGTCCTCCCCTAGAGGTGCCGATGCCGCTGCTCGTCGGAGCTCTCCTAGGGTGCGTTCTGACCAGGGCGTCGAGGCGAATCCAGCGGTGGCGTCGAGGGCCGCCCAGGATGCCCGACAAGGCGAAACCGGGCGAAGGGTGGCGGCATGGACACCTTTTTCTCTTCTGACGGCTGTGCTCCTCTGGTCTCGCCGTCGTCGGAGCAGCAGCGGCCGCAGCAACAGCGGCGGCAGGGCGCGCCGCGCAACTGCCGCCGCCCGGCGCACCGCGCGCCGCTCCGCCGCCGCCATCCGGTAGAGGGAAACAAGTAGTGGACACTCACCCGCCCCCCAAAACTCAAAGTTGGCACGCGCGGGGAAGACTGCGGTCGAAGTGCAACTCATCTGACTCACCGCCAACATTGATCATTGGGGCTGGGGGCATTGACAGATGCATGTGGCAGGAGTGTTCGCTACGTCATTTCTCCCGAGGCCTGTCGCGCGCGCGCAAGGGCGCCGAGGCGAGGCGGGGCGCCACCGACGGCAAGCCGGGTGCCGCCGGCGGGCGGCAGGTGCCGCGCGCCGGCGGACGGCCGTTGCGCCTCGGCGCGGAGCGGCTCGAGCCACGCTGGGGCTGCGTGTGCGCGTGTGCGTGAGAGGCATGCCAAAGCTGGCCAGAGCTGAACCTTCGAAGCCTCTTTCCGTCATGAGGCCTGAGTTGGAGAAGCTGCACAGCAGGGATCATGTCGCAACAGCCACGGCCCATCGCGTTGCTGTTCAGGCAGGTCTCACTTCGGAGTCTCGCCGCGCGTGCGCGCGGGTCCCCTCCCTTTCCTCTCCCTCTCCCTCACCCCTCCTCGTCCTACGGCAGGTTCGCGGCGTGCCGACTTCTACGTTGGTTTCTGGCACCGCGGGGATCGTTCAGCCTTGAACGATCGGCCGTTTCCGGCATGTCAGATCGCCCAACATCGGGCGATTCTGGGTCGTCGGCGGCGTTCAATGTTGAAAGACGGCGGCGAGGTTTCCGACGGTCGACACGACGCGAACTTACCGTATGCTCCATCCCCCCTTGCTCGGGGGGCGAGCCGAATCGAGGCGCTGCAGTACGCGCCTGGGTGCGGCCCCATGGAGAGCGCTGCGAAGGAGAAGCCTGAGATCCTGGCGCTGCATGCTTCCCGGGAAGGACACAGGCCTGTGGTTCTCTTTCAGTGGTGTTGCACTGTCTGCGATCCTCACCTTGCGTGGGGCCAGCGAATGTCGTCTCAGAGAAAAAATGGAGCCGCGTAGAGCTGACAAATTAATTCGATGAGGATGACTCTAGCGAAGGGCTTGTTTTCCATTATATGTTCAAGGTGTCTCGAGCGAAACCCTTGTTTTGTAGAGTTTGAGGATGTCTCGAACGAAACGCTTGTTCTGCAGAATCCGTCAGGGATGTCTCGAACGAAACGCTAATGTTCACGTGTCCAGGCCATCCAAGGAGCTATCGAACATGAGGTCGTCAGACTCTTCGAACATTCTTGGTAATTTACAAAGGATTATTGGCCCTCGGAGTTCGGCTCCCTCGGCAGGAGACGCCATGTGGCGTCAGGAGGGAGAACCGAAACGTGATCGGCTCGTCGAAGTCTCGGTTCGTTCTGCCCTGGTTCGGTTAGGGTCGGTTCGGCCCTCTTCGTCGCGGCTTGATTCGCCACGTGTCGGTTCGTCCACTGTCGGTGCGTTTCGCCTCGGTACGGATTCGCCCCTTCTGTGTTCGTTCCGCTTCAGAAACTGAAT